CTCCCTCCACTGTTGATGGCTTATAGAACAGCAGAGCATGAAACCACTGGATACACTCCAGCAAAGTTGATGTTTGGTCGGGAACTTCAGTTGCCAGTGAATCTGTTAACTCCTATCTTAAGTTTCCGTCTCTTTTGTTCTTGGTATTCTTTTAATTGTTTCATCATCTTTAATGAAGTTTCGATATTGCTTCTTGCCAGGGTTGTCATCTTGAATTTTTGAAGTTCAGTCAAAGTTCCATTTTACTTTTCACAAAACAATAATTAAACTTCTGATACAAGTGTTGTAATGTGTTCTGTCGTTTGAATTATCTAATCAAAATAATGCCGAGTGCAATCCGTGTAACATTAACGAATTAATTTATTTCATTAAAAATGTTTGCTACAGGCTGTTGTTGTTAGTTATTAAGCACAAAGCTACACAATGGGCTATCTGTGCTCTGCCTACCACGGGTATAGAAACTAGGTTTCTAGCAGTATAAGTCCGCAGACCTGCTACAGGCTACGTTCACTTTAATATATATTATAGGGCCAGGTTCACAAACAACATTTCAGTATAAACTGACATTTCAATGTACTCCTAACTCACAAATAAAATTAATGTTTTTTATTCTGGAGAAACTGTTACATGCAGAAGGATTTTCTAATGGTATAAATACAACGATATATATATATATTTGATAAACTAATATTTGAACAAAATTAATATAAGAACATGAAATAAACTTGTAATATAATTAAAAATCTTACGAAATAACAGGGTAGATCTTTAGTAGCACATCAATTTATAATAACACGGGAATCAAAGGATGTTTGAGATAATTTATTTTATATGTAACGTTATACTATCTGTTGTACCACAGAATTCCCAAGGTCGAACTACTTTGACGTAGCTACATGTGCAAAGTGTAAAATCAACCGAAAACTGCCAACTATCCGGATGAGAACACAGTAATATGGGCACATCAAACTCTACACTGGAGGGATGTAGAATCTCATTAAATAATTTGTAGTGACCCAAATTGGAAAGTAGGCCAGGCATGCCCTAATAGTTAGCGAGCAATAGTTAAATATGAACGCCTCGATGCAGGTTTCGTTCCCGCAAAATCGCATACCGCACATTGGGGCCGTGGGTGCGTTATAAGAGCGAAAGTCAAATCCCATTATTCAATTGGGGTATCATTAATGTTGACGGTAACTGCTGTTGACTAACTGCCTTTTTTCTAGTCTATTAGTTCAAGAAACAGTGGATATGTCATAGTTAAGACCGAGCTTTGTGCTTTGAATTCTTAAAATTTAAAACAAAAAGTAAATAACGCACAATTCAGATTTATAAAGGAACCAGCCATATTAGGAAGTGATATATACTGTTGC